TGTCGTACCTGAACGGGTGGGCGTTTTGACGTCGAGCTGAGACCTCGTTGCATGGAGATGGCGGGAGTAAGTAATCCAGAGAGCATACACCATCTCGCTGTGGGAACCGCAAGGTGTTTTCCCTCTCACCATGGCTGTCGTCATCCTCGTCTTCGCTCGCCTCCACGACAGTCTCGGTGATAACAGCCGGCTGTCGCTCGCTCTGGACAACCCGCATCTGGACATCAATCTTGAGTTCGGAACCGTCACGGTGCCTGGCAGGCAGGCCCTCGGTCCGCAAGAAAGATGTCGCTGCATCAGGCCTTCCTTCTCGAACTGCGAGGAACGCTGAGGCTTTCCGAAAACTGTGCTCCGGGACAACGATACCGTCCATCAACATGACGCCATCTTCCTCCGTCAGGAGTTGTAGGATCTTTTCGAACCCGGGCAGGAGCGTGTTGATGGACAGCCCATCTGGCTTCTCATAACCGAACAGAGACCCTGAGAAGGCTGAGTTCGAGCTCTTAATCTCCAAGTTTTCGGGATTAACGACGATGATGCCTGCCATATGTGGGAGGCTAGAAACGCGGAGTTCTGTCTTGCCTCTTACTTGTTCGACTGTGCATGGAATGTTCACCTTGTCTGCGTTTGGGCAGGTGAAAAACCGCCGCTTGGAGACTTGAGCAAAGTCAACCTCGCCCGTGCGAGGGTCAATACCTTGTCGTGGTATCCTCGGAATAAGCTGCCCGATGTCGCATCCTGGACGTAGCGTCTCGAACCCCCATATCGCATCTGTCTCCCCGGATACCTTTTCGACAACACCATCGTCGTCCATAGAGATCATGGCGACGTCTTCATGGATTTCCTCAAGAACCCAGATAAGGCCGATCCTCTTCTCCTTCACCCACAAGCTGGCCGAACCCGTGGACCCATTCCGCTTCTGGATGGGCACAACGTCGCCACATAGCAGCACGCCTCGAGAGCGACTGCTTCGATGGCGCGATCCTCCTCTCATGGTTGGTGGATTCGGGTCACCGCTATGTACTGTCTGCGCCTTACGGGGGATTGGCGCTTTGGGCGGATTCGTTCTGGAGTTTGGCTTGCTGAGGAGTTTCGCCGTGATGCCACCGCCTCGGCCACCGAGAAGCGACGAAGATACGGAAGCTGGGGGTGCGGGGGGTGACAGGTCCTCAGTGCTTTGGGCTGCTCCTTCTGAATCATATTGAAGCAGCTTTCTCTCGAGCCACGCCCTTCTCTCTTCTTGCACAACCTCAAGAATGCCGATTTTACGTACCTCGGCCTTTGTGACACCGAAGACGAGACAGGCAAGATCGTTGGCCGCAATGATAGTCCAAGGGGGTTTCGCTTCGGTCGTGAAAATGGCCTGAGCCGCAGGTGTCCACCGCGTGGTGTGACCATGCACAGGGCCGAGAGCACTGGGCATTGTGCCGGCTGCGAAATTTGGCGGAACGGTTGGAGATAGCATCTGCTCCTCGAATCCTGGAGGGCCGGCAACGAAGGGCTGCGCCATGGTGTCGATGAGCTTTTGATGCACCGATACGGACAGCGTGTCTGTCAGTGTTCGTTTCAGACTTGGTCGACGGGACGGCGGCGGCGAAGTCTTATTGGTGGTACCACTTTCGTTGGTCGGGCTGCGGCTCGAATATTCGGATTCCTGGCCTTCGATGATCGTCTTGGAAACGGAAGCTTTTGTTCTCGAAGGCTCGTCGTGTTCTTGAAGAGGCAACGGGCGCCGAGAGGTCGATGGTGACAGATTGGGCGAGGAGATGGGCTCAGGACTCTCGCTGCGTGGATTGAACTGTTTGTCAAAGAAGTTTTCACCCGAGACAACAGCTGGTCCCGTGAGAGGACCAGTCAGGGAATGGTCATTGTTGGGCAGATTGCCAGCACCCACGAGCTGAGCCCGAGCCAGAAGATCCAGCATGTTCTGCGTCTCTACATCCCCATGCACGCGTGCCTCCGCGCTCGCAAGTGCTACAGACGTTGAGGAGACAGACCAACCCAGTCGATCTTTCATAAACTCTATGGAACGTTTGAGGACAGTCTGTCGGTTGTGGATGAGTTCTTCCGACTGATGCGCGAATGAGAACGAGTGCAATGATTCAGATGGGAACCGCGAAAGATCCTCAGCGAAACTCGGGGATCCAGGGCCCGCAGACAACGGCAGAGACGGTGTGTTGGATAGCAGCAAGGTCATGGAAGAAGATCTGGGCAGGCCGATGGAAGAACTTCGCGACGCCGGGGTTGAGGCAGAAGGCAGCCCCGGCCCCCTGACCGAGGGCTGTTGTCGGATGCGGCGAAGACCAGAAAGTCCGAGGCCGTGGTCATGATCCGTGACGATGGGAGACCTGTAGCCGCATTCACGTCAGCGCTGCACTTGTCACGGACCTGCAATGCTACTGCGGTGGATTCGGGTGTTCCGATTCATCTCGCCGTCGTCGCATACTCATTGCCCAAGGTCACAAAGCAATAATTCATGCGGCAAGGAGGGCGGCGAGTGTTTGTTGTGTCCCCCAAATGTTCAAGGCTGTCAACCGTGTCTACGAACGCGTAGCAAGGACTTGGTTGCGAAGGCCACCTTCGGCGATTCGTAGGAGCGGGACATCATGGATTGGCACGAGATGGACACGAACCTACCTTGTGAGGGCTTCATATTCAGCTGTCGTGGCAGCACCTGCGTCGAAGGACATTCGGACGCGGGATCGATCGGATTGTGCATTTGTGGCTAAGGCGAGATTTCCGGTGCTTCGGTTTTTCGGCAGTGTCGACTGAGGCACGAGTCTGCTGCGTCCTCTGCCCTCCTCGTTGTGAAGTTCGGCGCCTGCAATCCATCAATCAGCCGGTGCACATACGGAAAAGGTCAACGAGAAGGAGAGCGGGCGGTCGAAGAGAGGACAGTGGAATTGGCGGGCACTGTTCCCAGACGCGAACGGTGTCTGTCATGCATACCATTTTTGCTGGATCCCCCATGCGTCTGTATCATACTTGGAGGGGCGTCGACCGTCGTGTACAGTGTTCGAGGGGGGTGGTCTGGCGGCAGGGCAAAGCGTCCGTGTTGTCGGTGCAAAGTCGAAAGGGCAACGGCGGGGTCGAGTCGTTGAGGGGGTGCAGGTTGGGTCGGCGATCCGATCTGGTGTAGTGCAGTTTGACGAAGTGGGCGTTCAATGGCGGAAGCTCTGTAGGCACCGGGTGCAACCTCAGACAAGGCAACGTATGGGGCAGGATTGTGTGCAGCTGATGTTGTGCCACGGGGCTGGAAGATGAACAGAAAAAGTAGTGCGGTCGTGAGACGCGCGAGTGGGTGGTGGATGAATCAAGCTCGGTGATGGTATTGACTGGCGTGCGGGCTTGTTGTTCGTCGTTCTGTCGACTGCACAGGCAAGGCAGGGCAGGGCAGCAAGACGAAGGAGCGCCGATCGAGACAGGGTAGTCAACGGCTGGAGGAATGAGTCGCACAGTCTGCGGCAGACAGGCAGGCTTCCAAACCCCGTCCCGGAGGCCTTTGTTGAGACGAGGTCTCACCTCTGTCTGATCTGGGAGAGTCGGGCAGCCCAAGACTTGAGCGTTTAAGGGAGCCGGCAGGCTTGGTCCGGCGTCCGGGCGTTGCAAGCGACTGTCGCGAGATGCTGCTTTGTTGCTGTATGTCTCACACTGCTGGCGGGCTGGGCAGGGCTGGGCTGAGCTGGGCGCGGGCGTGGGCGTAGATGATTGAGAAGAAAAGAACCTACAGTTAGGTAGGTAGGTAGGTAGGTAAGATAAGTAGTGCAGGCGGCGAGAGGAAGTCGAGGCTGTGGATCGATGATCAAGTATTTTGGTGGCTCACAGCATTTGCCAGCAGATTAGATGGGGTGAATTGAAATGAATGTTCAAATAAGCAATGCTCAGTCGGCAATTGTACTTTTTCTTCTGACAGAACTACAGACGGGGATGGCTCAGGTGCAACAGGATGGAAGCGGGAAGTTGAGGAGCGAGAGTTTCTCCTAGGCCCCTCCGGTTTTCAGGTTCTGGGAACGTCTTCTGTCTTGTCTGTACCGCTTGTTACTACTTGGACCAAAATCACCTGCAGGTCAGGAAAGAAGTAGGTAGGGAGGTAGGCAGGCAGGCTCACAGCTCTTCGGTGCACCATGACGGTACTTGCATGTTGCCGTGCCCGCTCCTTCCTCAGGCATGTGCGTGCTGCCCGCATCAGCACCACATCTTCTGTACCCAAGGTGCAAGCTCCAACACATGTGGGCCGCTGAGGTTTCTTTCTACGTACCCTGTACCTGGGTGGGGCAAGGTCAGAATTGAAATCCCCAGCATCATCCCCAATGCATGCTGTAGGTGTGTATGTAGGTGCCGTAGGTATCTACCTATGGAAGGGAAAGACCCTGGTGAAAGGTGCCCAGTAGCATGACCCGACGACGATACGGGCAGGCAAGTGTGGTGCTACATGATGAATGTTCGTAGATGGGGCCGCAGGTACCTTGGCACCAATCTTTGGTGGATTTGTCCTGGACAGAAGCTCGCAAGTCTATTGGATTGGACAGTATGTCCACTGTGGATGCTTCCGCGCTTAGACCACGGGACGAACTCAAAAGCTCACACCATCACATGGGCTGCGTTCGTTCGTCTCTCGTCATCCCGCTCACTGTATTCCATAACAGCATCTCTTGATGGTGACATAGGTATCCCACCTTGAACTTTCTGCAGGGCTCGGTATCCTGCCAACCAGCGCTCGTGTCCATCAGAAGCCTCCAGCTGTCGTGCACGAGCGCGTGTAGTAGTGCCAGTCAGTTGATGGACAAGTAATTATATCGGGCGGTCGGCGATTCCATCACGTCGCTTGCCGTCAGGTAGCTTCTCGACGATAGGAAGAGCAGTGCAAACGCATCTGACAATCTCCCTCCGCCTCAACGACACACGGCGGACACAAGGCTCCCACAGTCGATTACCGTTCCCATGTAAAACGATAGACCGTCGTCAACATCACGACTCGACAAAAGCTTTGAGAAGAAAGGATTGAGAACAGAAGAAATTCAAAAAGGAGCTGCTTTCTCTATTCTCTATGTATTGTGTAAATGCCCATACCTATCTGACTGAAGCTGTCGATAAAAGTAATAGTTTCCGGCAGAATGCGTATCCTAGAAGCGGGGAGTCGTTGATGGAGGTCTTGAGATCTTCCTATGAGTGCATACGCACACTGGGCAACTAGACTTCGATCAACCTCGTCGACGGAGATACCAATGGCCCCTTCAGAGGCGGGTTCATACCTACTGTAGGAGGACGAGAAAGAGAGCTAGAGAACGAGAGACCGATCAACGTCACCCCATCAGCCTCACGTGTCAAATCAACATTAGCGACAGTTCTAAGCACCAATTAACGAGATGTTACAGTCGGCTGATCTACCTAGGTAGGTCTTAGAGGGATCTAAGACTTAATCGCCCAATCAGTAGATAACATACTGCACTAAGGTGATAGAATTCAACAATCACCCACACACCACCATGAGCGCCTCAACGATACAGGCTTTGCTGAGATAACGGTGGTGAGCAGATGATAGTGTCATGGGTCGTGCAACAGATCGTAGCCCTATCCAGGGCGCTCGCGCATGATCAACACGCATATGCGGTGTGTGTATGTGTGTGTGTGTGTGTGACGAGCGCTGGTCTGTTTGTTTTGAGTTTCTCAACGACCAAAGGTTCATGTCCTGGACCAGCTATGGGCACGGGCTCCAGGAGTTGAAGTAGATAGCTAGCCGGCCGCCGGCCGGAAGACGCGAGCGCTGGAAACGGCAGCCGGCGTTCGAGAAGCTGGCTACCCTTCTGGTGGCATGTCAGGGTACAGGAACGTGGCAATGGAGAACAGCCTGGACGGAACGGGCCCAGCCAGTGCGGCGGATCCAGCGTGCGTCTTTGGGGGTTAGTGCCCCTAACCGCCCCTCCAGCTGGCTGGCAAAGAATTAACCTGACCAAGCCGAGGCGAGTCAAGATTTCCCTGATGTTGGGAAGAAATGCCTCGAATGTGAAGCAGCCGGATAACCGCACACCAAAATTACTGGAGACTGTTTCCACTGATCTTCTTTGTCCTTAAACGCGCAGGACATGTACCATGTATATGAGTCGGGCACGTCGGCAACCTGGCCATGAACACGCCTGCCGCTCAAGCCATTCATCAGTGACGATTTTCGGCCAAAAGAAGAGGCTTAAGCACCGGCTCGATGAGAGAGACCATTCCAGTGATGCTTCTTCGGCCGACCCCTGTGGTTGAGAACCCTCACACTCGCTGTTGTTCTGGCCGGCGTCCACTACAGGGATGTCGAGGACGGAGTGTGAGCAACTTTTGAAAGGGCCAGAGCACCCCTCTCCCCCGCACACCATGCCCTGGCGACTTGGCACCATCACGACCCCTCATCCCATTGATCAGCCTGAAGGCCGTTACGTGCTCCAGCTGTTTGCCGCCAGGCGTGTCCGGCCACTAAGCAATTTCTTGGCTGCCAAGGGTTTTCGGGGTCGCACAGTGTCGGGTTGACGATTCGGATGCACTCGTCGCCTTGAGGAAACACGAAGAGTGCAGTGGACATTGAAGCTTCCGCGTTCGATGGCTACTATACCTACCTACGTAGGTACCTAAGGGAAT